GCTGCTGCTTAGTTTTTCCTTTGTGTGTCTGTTTTCTTTTATATACTTCTGATGTTATTTCACATGTTATGTGTTTTTGGATTTGTGACAGATATGTTCAGGGGGGGGCATGTGTGGCGGATACAATGTATATATTTCACACCTGAATGTATGCTTTAATTGTGAAGGGGAGAAGGTGAGGTGTGAAGACACCAACAGTTGTCATTCATTCGATTTTTGGTTTTGGTTGGAAGACATTGAGAATAAATCAAGACTCATATTACTTTTTTGTATTTTTCTGCTGACTTCCACAATAGCATCCTTATCATAGACTAAAATTATTTAAAATAGCACAGTTCACTACTCACCCGGCAGAAAGAAGTCAACAGCCATCTATTGCTGCTTTTGATCCTAAATGCTTGACCCAACTTGAAATTAAATGATTGTATTCTCCAGGCTTTTGAAAGCTTTCTTCTGGCTCATTGTATAATATGAGGTCTGCAGCTATAGGTAGTTGGTTATGTGGATCGCCTCGACACCGGGTAAATCCTCAAGATTATAAGAGAAGTCTTTTTTTACCGAGATAATACGGATCACTATCCTAAATATATGCGTATTTTTTTAAAATACCTCAGCTGTTCCAGCCTATTTAGGGCAGTTGTGATCACATACACAAGTATGTGATCACGAGTATGTGATCAATACTCGTGATAACGAGTATTGATCACATACTCATTGTGATCAACTTTGCTTTGTTTTGAACCGAGGAAATCCCCTTCTGGATCTCCATCTGAATTTTGCGCGTCATCCAGGTCACGTGACTGAAACCCAGCAATACATTTTACCCAATGTTGCTTTATTATTCCAAGTCTTAGCTTCTAATCTGCACTGAATTTGTCATCAATGTCTTACATATAAAGTTGAAACTATAAGTTTACATACACTGAACAAAAAGACACTTTTTTATAGGCAGAAGTTAAATTAGACCAAATGTCTCTTATTTTAGTTCAATTGGGAATTGCCTAAATTAATTCTATTTGCTAAAAGCCAGAAAACTTAGCAAGAAGATTTAATAATCAGAAGTCTGTGTACATAGTAATAATGTACAGTTCATTTCATAATCAATGTATATGAAATGAACTGGACCTGTTTTATTCTGAATTAAACTGAACTTGTAGATTGTAAACTCTTCCAGAAGTGTGTTGTTGCCTTCAGTACACTAAAAACATATCCATCCCCTTCTCCCTCTAACCCCCCACACTTAAATTCACTTTGGGTGAACTCAACCTAAAGCTATGCATGAAAGAATGAAGAGGAAGATTTTTCTAACCTGGTTTCTTATCATATGTACTCCAAAAATGTCTCTGAAAAAAGAAGAAAACAACCGGTCAATAAAGTGGCCTCTTATTGTGTTCTCTTTATAACATTTTCCATTCACTTATTTTTCATATTTCCTTTCCAAGCTGCCACACTTTCCTTTTTCCAGTGGTCTTTAGTCCCTCTACAGGGTTTTTGGGGGTTTTAGAGGATTGGATCAATGTGAACATAGCTTCCACATTTCAAGGTGTGGTAACACTTTATTTGAAGGGGGGTGAATAAGACTGACATGACACTGTCATAAACACCTGTTGTGAACATGAATAAGCCTTCATGAATATTTATGACAACAGTCATAAATATTCATGAAGGCTTATTCATGTTCATGACAGGTGTTATGTCATGTTTATGAAAGTGTCATGACAGTCTTATTCACCCCCCTTCAAATAAAGTGTTACCCAAGGTGTTATGTACAAATACCCTTTATAAATATCTTTCACATTTTCAACTTCTTTTCTTTAAATTTTACATTTGTAGCACAGATCAATACAATTTTTGACTGTGTGTGCCATGTTTTTTTGGAAGGAAGGAAAAGAAATTGTAATAAGATTTTGGATCTTTATGTTTTGTATTCGCTTTTTCTTCTTCGATAAAGATCTTTTTGTTAAATTCACGGTTTTGCATGCGCCCTTTACTTTTCCAAGAGTGCTTCGTGAATGACACAGCTACTTGATCATATAAAAGTCTTTAAATTCATCTTTTACTATTGTCATAGCAGCATATCTTTGCAATATTTACCATCTAGAAGACTTAAATTGTGACTTTATGTTTAGGGTTACTGACAACAATGTTTAGGGTCATAGAGCAGCAAAAAAAAAAAGGCTACTGAAAGAAATCCCACAGCATGATGCTGTTACCACCATTTGCAGTAACATGCACTGTTGTATTGCACTTTGTATTCAAGCCTCAACCGGTTTTCTTGACCTCATCATTAGCTCCATCCATCTTCTCATCAATTCTGACCTGCTTTCTTGTTGCTGCTGAACAAAGGAAACTTCAGAGCATGATGCCACCATTCACCCTGTTGTGTTTAAAATATTTATGTTTCTATATAAGCCAATAAGTTCTGGAATGGTCTAATCCAGGGGTGGGCAACCCTGGTCCTTGAGGGCCGGTGTCCTGCAACTCTTAGATGTCTCCTTGGTCCAACACACCTGGATCCTATAGCTGAATCACCTCCTCAGTGCAGTCAAGTTCTCCAGAGTTCTGCTAATGACCTCATTATTTGACTCAGGTGTGTTGAAGTTGAGACACATCTAAAAGTTTCAGGAGACCGGCCCTCGAGGCCTGGAGTTGTCTAATCTAAGCAGAACACATCAGGCGGTCCACCATCTCTCATCTTGAGATGATGGAATGAGATTTGTGGCTGTAACATGGTAAAATGCAAAAATGTTTATGGTGTATGAATGAAACTTTACCTTTAATAACATAAAGATACCTAATTTTTAAAGTGCAATCATTAATTCTTTTATAACAAATTTATATCAGTAATGATTTCTTGGTTAATGTCAAGTTGTCATAACAAAGACATTTTGAATAACGTCAACTTTGTATTAAAAGTGTCATAATTTACCGAATGACGCTTTATGACAACAGTCATAAATATTCATGAAGGCTTATTCATGTTCATGACAGGTGTTATGTCATGTTTATGACAGTGTCATGACAGTCTTATTCAACCCCCTTCATATAAAGTGTTACCCTGATTTGTTTCAGGCATAACATCTGAATGAACTCTCAGCATCCTTACTGTATTTTCGTCATCTTCAAAAACTTCTCTGGCCTCCTCATAGTTGCATGTTTCCTCCATGCATTCCCTCTCCAGGTCACCCTGCATCACCAGCTCAAAGTCCCAGTAGTTAGCAAGCAAGGAGCGAGACATGAAGGATGCTGCTGACTCTGCATCCAAAAACACTGGATCTCCTGCAGGAATCAAGTCATTTTTCAGATCAGTGAAAGAAACCAGACTGTAACAGGCTGCAGTGTTGTGTTCACGAGTGGAGGTCCAATTCTTGAGAGGTTTTAACTGAACAATGTTGGGGAACTTTCATCGTCAAACAGAGACCTTGGGGTATTTTAAGAGTAAACTTTTGGCATGTGGCAGAAAAAAGTCCACATAACTTTCTGAAGGATTCTGAATGTAGGATTGAAGAACTCCGATTCCGAATGTGCTTAAGCAGAATCAAGAGTTTATCAACAGGAAAATAGTGGTAGTTTCACTCCTTTGGAAATAAAAATACACAGAGAATCTGAAGTTGTTCTGATTTTATAGTCATAAAATTATATATAAAAAGAAATAGGTCAGAGCGTATCAATCCAAATATCAGAGTTCATGTTGGCACATATGATGGAATTAAAATTTCCCGACACAGAAATAGAAGTTTCTGGCAGAGGCTATTTAGACAAACAAATCTGAAATATCCAGATAATCTCTGTAATAAATTAATGCTTTACACACTGTCATCTGTGATCAGAGATGCAATTTTAGCAGAACCAAATAAACTATTATTATTATTATTAGGTTTTTCTTTAATGGAAACTCATTTTTATTCATAATTTTTGCCACATAATATTCCAGTGCGGATTAACAGGTACATTCTGATTGATAGAAAATCTATTTGTATTGAAGAATGGTACTCAAAAGAAGTATGTGCTGTTGCCGATTTTATTTAAAAATACCGTTCATAATTTAAAGTACACTGCATTTCCTCCACCTACTTCATGAGTTTTATGGGTTAATCAGGTAATCTTTTTATATATAATAATTTTTATTCCTCCAAATAAAAATAAAATTTAATTTATTAATAGTTTTAATTATCTTGGTTAATACAGGAAGTAAATTCAAGCTGGTGACCTTCTAGTCCGAGTTAAACGATAACACAACAGGACAAGAACTGGATGGAAATGAAATGTGGGTCACGAAAGGAACCGAAGGGACGAAGGCTGCTAAAGTGTTGCTAGCTGGTGGTAAGTTTGCTTCAAAATGCTAATTATCTTCTTTTAATTAAAAACACTGCAGTACATATATAAATAAACTTACATTGGTTTCAGAAATA